ATCATGTATTTGGAAAGAACCTTATTGTTCCTTGAGTCCAGCCCTCTGTTCTGGGCTGCAGGACAGAAGTCGCCTCTGACCAGGTTGGGTCATTTCTGTGAGATGTCTGTGGCGGATTTGCTAAGATCATATATTGATACCTGCAAACTACCCTTTGTATGGTGAATTTGGCTACCTACACAACAACAAGTGAGTGTTTCTAGCCTTCCCACCACGCCTGCCAGCCAGCAGATCAATTTCAACAGCTTTTCCATCTTTATCTTTATAGCACGGTTTATGTGTGCAATCATTTGAATTGTTTATGTGCTTTGCCCTTGTTTTATTAAAATGAAAGTGAGAAATTAAAAAGGTTAATAATCAGAGTTATGAAGAGCATAAATCTCCTAAACACATCAATTGAGAAAGAAAGAGGGAAATCATTTGGTGTGAACCCTTGGTCTTGATTGGATGCCTTGGGAGTCCACCCCTGTGAAGGGAAAGGATGAAATGAAAGGGTGTTTGTGAAATGCTGTGAAGGAATTGTGGATTGCTTGAGTCTGAAACATTAGGTATATTTAGAGATTTTACAATCTTTCTTTTCTTACTTTTTGTTTTAAGCACCCTAAAAAAAGGAATAGTTCTTCATACTTCAGAGGTGCACATTGTAACATGAGTTTTTTTCACTTTCATACATTTTACTTTCAAATTCATTTTCAGGAAGGAATCAGAGATGGGAAAAAAGGGAATTGCCCATAAAGGGAAATTCCTCTCAAACAGGTCCGTAAGCTTCCCCCAGGCTGCAGTTCTCCCTGTGGAATCTGCCTGGATAAATATTTCCTTTTCAGAAGAGCAAGCACCCAGTCTTCAAATTAGCCCTTGTGCTATGTCCCGAATCCCTGAGTTCTTCCAAGAGTCTCAGATGGCCCAGTTTTCTCTTTCTGGATCACCTGGCTTTGGACTTCATTTGTCTGGGATCCCTTGCTGAACTCTGCCTGGGGTCACAGCACGGGGCCTGTGCTCTGCCTGCACTGTGGAGCCACTGGAGCAGCCTTGTCCCCTAGCATCTGGGATCCATCCAGTGTCGTCAGGTCTTCGCTGCGCAGGGGCCTTGCTGTTGGCCTTTCATGCATCTTCTTGATTTTCCTGCTTCTCTTCAAGCTGGCACCTTACTGATCAGGGTCCAGCTCTAATGACACCCCTGCAGAGAGGTCTTCCTCGAGCCCTTCTGCTGGCTTCCAGGAACACTTAGCTCCAGGTGCATTTACACATTCATTTGTTACTTGTTCACCATGTGTCTCCTCTAAACGTAAGCTTCACAGTCAGTCTTACCCAGTGCTTAGGACAGTGCTGTGCATAGGAGGCTCCGGAAGTTCTGCCTAATAAGTGAATGGCGCTGACCCCGATAACTTGCTAAGAGCAGAGCCCAGCTCTCAGGCCCCGTGGCCCGCACCAGCAGCTTGTAGAGGTCTCATTCTTCCATCCCTGAGTTGCAGGTGCAGCCTCCAGTGTCGCCAGGCTCTGTCCCGGTAGCCTAAGCACTGTCATTACTGTATCCTTTGTTCAGATGGCCTCATTGGTTGCTGTCATCCATGGAAGTGAGTTCTCATCTCCTCCCATACTTTAGGTTCCATGGAGCGTGTCTTTGCTCATTTAGCTATCTTTTATTTATTTATTTATTTATTTGGTGCAGCGACTTGGATTTGAATGCTATCTTTAAAGAAACTTTTTTTTGAGACGGAATCTTACTCTGTCGCCCAGGATGGAGTGGAGTGGAGTGATCTTGGCTCACTGCAACCTTGACCTCCTGGGTTCAAGCGATTCAGGAGCTGGGACTACAGGTGCACACCCCCATGACCAGGCTAATTTTTTTTTTTTTTTTTTTAGACAGAGTTTCACTCATGTTACCCAGGCTGGAGTGCAATGGCGCGATCTCGGCTCACCGCAACCTCTGCCTCCTGGGTTCAGGCAATTCTCCTGCCTCAGCCTCCTGAGTAGCTGGGATTACAGGCACACACCACCATGCCCAGCTAATTTTTGTATTTTTAGTAGAGACGGGGTTTCACCATGTTGACCAGGATGGTCTCGATCTCTTGACCTCGTGATCCACCCGCCTCAGCCTCCCAAAGTGCTGGGATTACAGGCTTGAGCCACCGCGCCCAGCCTGTATTTTTTGTAGAGACAGGGTTTCATCATGTTGGCTAGGTTGGTCTTGAACTCATGACTTCAAGTGATCTGTCCACCTGGGCTGCCCAAAGTGCTGGGATTACAGGCATGAGCCACCGCACCCACCCCCATTTAGCTATCTTATTTCATATTATTTCTTTGCAATGAGCCACTGCTAGACATAGGTGGGTGCCTGCCCAGCTCTGTAGAATTCACCTTGCATGATACGCATGGTTCATGCTGGCTTTACCTGCTCCTCCTCCCTCTTCTTCCTGTATACCCCAGACCAACTCTGTCCTCAGGGCTCTGTTTAAAGCCCATCTCCATAATGGAATCTACTCCTGATCTTATTAATCTCTCTCTCTCTGGCCCTTGGCAGTTATAGTCTGTCTATATAGTTTATAATAAACTTTATAATAAAGTCTGCCATCTAATGAAATAAGGAGCAGAGCAGATGAGTTTCAGGAGCGTGGAGGTTGGAGTCAGAGAGTCCTAGGGCTGATTCATTGTTTCATGACTTGCTAGCTGTGTGTCCTTCAGCAAGTTAATTACTGTTAATGAGCTTTGTGTTCTCATCTGTGACATGAGAAGAATAATGCCTTTCTCACGTGGTTGTTTAAAGATTAAATAATGATAATACAACTCCTGGAATATTGTACACACTCAGTAAATACACTGATGGTCATTTCCTTTGCATTGGTGCTGTAGATGAATTATGTCTCTCCCCAATTAATTAATTAATTAATTAATTTTTTGAGACAGAGTCTTGCGCTGTCGCCCAAGCTGGAGTGCAGTGGCGCAATCTCGGCTCACTGCAACCTTTGCCTTCTAGGTTCAAGTGATTCTCGTCTTTCAGCTTCCCGAGCAGCAGGGACTACAGGTGCACCACCACATCTGGCTAATTTTTTGTATTTTTAGTAGAGATGAGGGTTCACCATCGTTGGCCAGGCTGATCTTGAACTCCTGACCTCAAATGATCCACCCGCCTCAGCCTCCCAAAGTGCTGGGATTACAGGTTTGAGGCACCATGCCTGGCTTCCCCCAATTTGTATGTCGAAGCCCAAACCTTCAATGTGATTGAATTAAGATGCACGGCTTTTAGGAGCTGATTAAGATTGAGACCATAAGGATGGAGTCCTAATCCGATTAGATTGGTGGCCTTATAAGAGGGGGAAGAGAGATCACTCTATTCGTGCACACACCCCAAGGGCAGGCCACGTGAGCACACAGCGAGAAGGTGGCCGTCTTCTTATCATGAAGAGAGTCCTTACCAGGAACTGAATCTGCTGGCCCTGTGATCTGGGACTCCCCAGCCTCCAGAACTGTGAAAAAGTAACTTCCGTTGTATGAGGCACCCAGTCTGTGGCATTTCTTCTGGTAGCCTGAGCTGACTAATACAGTGTGCTTTTGCTCTAATTAGATAATGATTTGTTGAGGGGTCATTGATTCAGCACTTATTAGGTGTTGGGCACTATCTTATTTAATCTGACCTGTCTAATCCTCAATTCTCAAAACCACTTTAGAAGTTGGTGAAGTTACTTGCTTAGGTCCCCCTAGCCTAGTAGTGCCAGGATTAGAACTATGACTTCATGCTGCAGCTCTTGAAATGGCACCTCCTGCAGTTGTGCAGGGCAGGCCTCTGTGGCTGTCCATGGATGACCTTGACGGATGGGAGACCATGTGTGTCCCTGTCGCTAGTGCTCCTGCTTTTCACCAGAGAGCAGTCGATACACTCCTTGATGTCAGGGGAGATACCTTGTATTTTATTTCTGGTGGCACTTAGCAAGTGCTGTGTGCACAGGAAGCAATTAAAAAATAATTTTTGGTTGGTTAATTTTCCCCAAACACTTAGATCCTCCTGCATCTGGAGAAAGAGTGAAATGTTTCACCCACCCTCCTGAGCTCCCTGTGCGCATCCCCTGAGCTGTTTGCTGTCAGCAAAGGCATTTGCGTGTCAAGCCTACCCATAAACTTGCTGAGTTGACGAAAGCAAAGGGAGATCAAGTTTTCAGTTGTTGGAGAGTAGACCCTTTGTGAGTCTGAACCTGCAATTCTTTTATTCTCTCTGTGAGTAGAAGTGAGTCTTTGTGAGAATGGCCTTCAGCCAGCATCTCGACACCTCAGTTACATAAGTAGTTCTCATCTGGTTCTCCTCTTTTGCTTTTTTCTCCCTCTATATTTACTCAGAGTAAGTGGCCTGAGGGAATATTAATCAACTCCTTTTTTTTGAGATGGAGTTTCGCTCTCGTTGCCCAGGCTGGAGTGCAATGGCATGATCTTGGCTCACGGCAACCTCCACCTCCCATGTTCAAGCGATTCTTCTGCTTCAGCCTCCCTAGCAGCTGGGATTACAGGGGTGCACCACCATGCCCAGCTGATTTTGTATTTTTAGTAGAGATGGGTTTCTCATGTTGGTCAGGCTGGTCTTGAACTCCCGACCTCAGGTGATCCACCTGCCTCAGCCTCCCAAAGTGCTTGGATTACAGGTGCGAGCCACTGTGCCCAGCCCTCCTTTTTTTTTTTTTTTTTTTAATTTGCCTCAGCTTTTGTTATTCAGAGAGAAATTGGCCTCATCGGCCTCAGGACTCAGATGGCTTTACCTGTAATTAATTAAGGTTTTTCCTCTCTGAAGTTGATGGGTTTGGGCTTTTGAAAAAGATGAGCCATGAGGAGTCTAACTGAGGCTCAAGGTGATAGAGTTATAGCTTCTAGACCTCTCAGACCTTCTGTATAGATATTGGCCAGTACTCTTTATTAGCACATGTATTGGCCAGTATTCATTATTAGATATTGGCCAGTATTCATTATTAGTGCGTTATAATTTATACTACATTTAGGGTGCATTTATAATTACGCTTTTTTTTTCTTCTTTCTTTTCAAGCTAGGGAACCCAGAAGTAAATCATACTTTTCATAGGGCTTGCCATAAGACATACAAGATATGTCATGATCAGGCTGTTAAGATAAAAGTTGAAAATAGACAAATGCTGTAGAGAGAGGGGAAAGCAAATATTCCAAATTCTTGAGCTAATGTATCTGTTGGGATTGAGTGCCTTGACAACCAAGGCAAAAATGGAAACTCGGCAGATTCCATAATTCTCCTTCCCTGGTAAGATACCAGCTTAGGAGAGAGACGTAATTCCCAGGTGCAAGTTGACAAAAATATTTCATTGTGGGGCTGTTTCTCCATTGGATATAAAACCGTGTAATTTACAACACATACAGCAACCTTAGCTCCAGTTCGGGAAGCGATCAAGGCTGTTGTTCATGCCGTTAGTCACGACCTTATCCTTCTCTGCCCCTGGCTAATACCTGTTCATCCTGTAGACTTTTACAACAATCATCTCTTCCAAGAAGTCTGCCATGATTCTCCCTGCCCAGTCTGGGTCATGCCCCTCCTCTCAGTGGAACCATAAGACAGGGCTTATCTTTATCTCTGCACCTGTATATTGCTTTCTACTGTCCTTTGTAACTAGGTGAGGCATTCCTACAACTCATTCCTGGTATTGTGGTAGGTATGGGGCTAATGTTTGTTGAAGAAATGAAGTTTTTTGATATAGATTAGAAAAACAGTTTTCCAAGTGGATGAAAACACGTTATATGAATGAAAGTCATTAGTTGTTTTTTAGTGTCTGCCCAAAATGAGGGAATGTGTTCTCTTTCGGGGTCCATGACGGGGCGTAGCTTTAAGGGCAAGAATTTCCCAGCACCATGCCCCTCTCCCATCTCTCTCTCCATCCAGGAGATTCAACAGTTTATGTTTGAATTTCACGGGCGCGGGAGGAAACTGAAAGTCTATCACTCCAGCGGAAGTTCTAAGGAACTCCTTTCATTGGCCCAGGGTCTTGGAGAAGGTGGGGGTTTCTCCCAGGATAAAAGTCTGTGCTCCCTCACCTGCGCAGATTTCCAACTTTCTGGAACCCCCTCCCACACGGTGGGAGCTCCCTCTGGGATTTCCCCTCTGGAATCCCCTCCCACACTCTTCGTGGAAGCCTTTTTCTTCTCCTTTCCTTCTCTTTTCTCTCCCTAAATAAAATCACCTTTCTGCAACACTTTTTGGATCCGATATTCACTTTGCCAGCATACAGTGCAGCTGAAGCGTCCCTACCGCTTATTCTTTAAGAGGTTGGAGGCCAAGAACCCACAACATCCAAGAAGAAACCCGGTTACAAGAGTAAGTAGCTTGTCTGTGACTCAGAACTGTACATTCCTGGTACGTATTGGAAGAGCTGGTTGTCAGATGTGGACTCAGGAGACCTGGGTTCTGGTCCCGATTCTCCCACTAAGTAGAGTTACAACTTGAGCATTTCACAGACTTTGTTTCTGCATCTGCAAAGTGAGCACTGTGAAGCAGGCTGGCAGCCCAGAGGAGGGAGTTCGTCCTCGTCCTATGTGCCACGCCCAGGGCCTCCATCCATTGCTGGCCATAGCCCTCATCCTCAGCTGCTTCTGTGAGTCCCATTCTCAGAAGCCACTGCCAGTCCCTTGGGGCTGGCATCAGAGAATAAGTCTGTGGAAAAGGTTACCTTTGAGGTTCTTTTAGCTCTAATGATCATAGCCTTTCCCCTGATGCTCTCTGTTATCATTATAGTGGGCTGAAATGTTCCCGCCACCAAATTCATGTCCACCTGGTATTAGTTACCTAATGATTTTAAAATAGGGTTTTATAGCTGGGCATGGCGGTGGAGACCTATAATTCCAGCTACTCGGGAGGCTGAGGCACGAGAATTGCTTGAACCCAGGAGGCAGAGGTTCAAGTGAACCAAGATCCTGCCATTGCACTCCAGCCTGAGTGACAGAGTGAGACTCCATCTCAAAAAAATAAATGAATAAATAAAAATAAAAATAGGCTGGTTGTGGTGGCTCATGCCTGTAATCCCAGCACTTTGGGAGGCTGAGGCGGGCTGATCATGAGGTCAGGAGTTCAAGACCAGCCTGACCAGCATGGTGAAACCTCATCTCTACTAAAAATAAAAAAATTAGCTGGGCATGGTGGCGTGTGCCTGTAATCCCAGCTACTCAGGAGGCTGAGGCAGGAGAATTGCTTGAATCCAGAAGGTGGAGGTTGCAGTGAGCGGAGATCACGCCTTCACTCTAGCCTGGGCAACAGAGTGAGACTCTGTCTCAAAAACAGACAAACAAAAAAATAGGGTTTTTGCAGATGTAATTAGTTAAGATGAGGTCAAATGGATTCAAGTGGGCTCTGAAGCCATGGACTAGCATCCTTATGAGGAGAGAAAAGGAAACATACCTGGGGAAGATGACAGAGGCAGAGACTGGACCAGTGCAGCTGTAAGTCAGGGAGTTCAAGGGCATCTGGGAGACCCCAGAAGCCAGGAAGAGGCAAGGAAGGATGTTCCTTAGGTCCTGTCAGCGCCTTGATGGCACATTTCCGGTCTGTGAGAGAATCAGTTTCTGTTGATTTAAGCCACCAAGTTTGTGTTAATTTGTGACGACAGCCCTGGGAAACTAATGAAAGTAATGACAAAAACTGCAATTACTTTTTGCGCCAGTGTAATAGTATACACTCACCTCTGATTTTTGCCGTCTGTTTGCCTGCTCCATCAGGCTAGTTGTGTCCCTGCTCACGTCTGCCTGGAGAAGCCTCATGTGTTGGAAGATGTCTTTTTTGCTGTGTCACGTGTGGTGGAAACTGACATTGCTCTGCCTGTTCATGAACGTTTAGACATTGATAAAAAGCTCATTTTCCCAATTAATAGATTAAAGCATATAAATTACTTTATATTTTTGAGGGACATATGTTTAGTTCAGACTCCCTGAGGTCTTATTCAAATTATCAAAAACCTGGCCACCGCAGTGTAATTCACAGATGGTACTGACTCTAGCCAAAAAAGAAAAGAAAAAAAAAAAAAAACAAAAACCCAAACTGTGCTCCAAACACAAAACTGCTTGAGTGTTCTGGGCAATACGGTATTGAGGGAATGGTGTTCCCTGCTGGGGAACCTCCGCCTACCGCTTCTCCCATCTTGGACCCGGAAGGGCAGTTTCTCCAGCTGGGGAGTCTCTTTACTGTCCTTTTTACATACGTGTCTTCTTCAAAGAGACCTCCAAGCTTGTGTCTATGTTTTCAATGCCTCAAACACCACCTCCTCTTTCCCAAGTGGTTTCATATGTTATCTAAAGATCTCAACACTCTACAAAGTTACGATTATTGTTCCATTTTATAGATGAGGAAACTGAGGGTCAGAGAGACAATCAGGTAACTAATCGCAGGTGACACGGCTAGGAAGCAGCAGAACAGAATCTGAACTCAGATCTTTTCCATTCCTAAACCCACTTGCCTCTTACCCCACCTCAAGGGACATTTGTGGGCTAGGTAGGAACAGTGGCTTGAACCAATGCAGATGAGTATAGATGCATTTGGAGAGAAAACTTGTGGAAGAGGAGAACATGAGGAAACAGAAATGGGGATAGCTGGAGTCAAGGCCAGAAAGATAGGAAGGTGCCATTTTGGGAAGGGCTTGACTTTCAGGCCTGGAAGTGAGGGTGTTTTGTGTCTCTACTGGGCAACATTTGAAGGCCTGGAGCATGGAGAGGCATGGAGTGTGGGAGTTTGGGGTTTAAGGAAGTAGAGCGATGGGTCAGCAGTCCAGCTGGGGTATAATGATGGATGGGATTAGGTTGGCAGCAAGGTCTACACTTGGTGACACCACACCAACTGTCACGGAGGTAGAACCCGCAGGCTCTGATGATAGCTGTGGGAATCATGGGGTGGGCAGACAAGGAAGGGAAGTAAGAATCCAGGTTTAAGTCTGCTTAGAGGAGAGGGTAGGAATAAGGAGGAGAATGGATTTGGTCTGACAAGCAGTGGGGTAGGGTGATGAATGGGTTATGGTCTGGCCATAATGGACTCAAGGGGCCAAAGGGTCATCTAGAAAGGATGACCAGTTGACTGGCAGATGTGTGGGCTGCAGATCAGGCTTTTGGAGTAGTTGAGAGGATCAAGCAAAGGGCCTGGGCATTGCCAGCTCTTTCTTTCTTTTCTCTTTTTTTCCCTCCCCTCCCCCCCTCCTTTTTTTTTTTTCCAAGGTCTTGCTGTGTCGCCCAGGCTGGAGTATAGTGGCATGATCACAGTTCCTTGCAGCCGCAAACTCCTGGACTCCAGGGATCCTCCCACCTCAGCCTCCTGAGTAGCTGGGACCATAGGCATGCGCCATCACAACTGGCTGGTTTTTAATTTTTTTCATAGAGATGGGGTCTTGCTATGTTGCACAGGCTGGTTTTGAACCCCTGGGCTCAGGTGATGCTCCTACCTCTGCCTCCTAAAGTGCTGGGATTACAGGTGGGAGCTACCACATTTGGCCTCTACCTTCATTTAAGGAAACTTTTATTTGTTTATTTATTTTTGCTTTTTGAGGCCTTTTTTGGGGCTGCAGGTGCTGGCCTAGCCAGACTTGGCAGCACACTTTACGTGGCCACAATGTCGGGCGGTGTTAGAATTAGTTGGGGAGGGCTCTTATGGTCATGTCACTAGATGTTGGAAAGGCTTTAGTTATAAAATTAAAGACAAGCCTATCATCTGTGTGATTTTGTAGGCTTCGGGGTTCGAGACATAATCTTGTGAGTCACCCTAGGAATCTGGGAGTACCTAGTTCACAGTAGAGAATTATTATTGCTGTTTGTCAATAATATTTGAAGTTGACAGTTACCTTTGTGGTGATTTCTCTCAGAAGGAGGCCTTTCTCCTGTGCTTGCTGAGTTTGATTTGAGTCAATTTTTTTTTTTTTTTTGAGATGGAGTCTCACTCTGTCACCCCGGCTGGAGTGCAGTAGCAGGACCTTGGCTCACTGCAACCTCTGCCTTCTGGTTCCATGTGATTCTCGTGCCTCAGCCTCCCAAGTAGCTGAGATTACAGACCCACACCACCACACCTAACTACTTTTTGTATTTTTAGTAGAGACGGGATTTCACCATGTTGTGAGGCTGGTTTTGAAACCCTGACTCAAGTGATCCATCCACCTCGGCCTCCCAAAATGCTGGGATTATAGGCGTGAACCACTGCACTTGACCTGATTTGAGTCTTAATATGTAGAGCTCTGGGCATCTCAGGCAGAAGATGAATGAGGAGCAAAGGCATGTCTTACATAGCGGCTGGCAAAGAGAGAGCTTGTGCAGAGGAACTCCCATTTATAAAACTATCAGATCTCACAAGACTCATTCACTATCACAGAACAGTACGTGCCCCCATGATTCAGTTACCTCCCCCTGGGTCCCTCCCACGACATGGGAATTATGGGAATTGCAATTCCAGATGAAATTTGGATGAGGACACAGCCAAATTATATCAGACCTTAACGAGGGTAAGGCTGTACAAACAGACCTATTTATCTGCAAGGCGTGAAGTCAGTGGTGTGGGAAAAAATACTGTTATTCTGCATTTGAATTGAGCTTGGCTGGGCATAGTGATTCACGCCTGTAGCCTTAGCACTTTGGGAGGATGAGGTGGGTGGATCACTTGAGGTCGCGGGTTCGAGACCAGCCTGGCCAACATGGCAAAATCCCGTCTCTACTAAAAATACAAAAATTAGCTGGTCATGTGGTGGGTGCCTATACTTCCAGCTACTTGGGAGGCTGAGGCAGGAGAATCACTTAAACCCAGGGGATGGGGGTGGAGTTTGCAGTGAGTTGAGATTGTGCCACTTCATTCCAGCCTGGGCAAAAGAGCGAAACTCCATCTAAAATAATAATAATCATAAAAAATAAATAAAATGAGCTTGTATTTTGGGATTCCCTTTTTGCCAAAGCTGAGTAGGTCTTCATGCTCTGAAGCGGTGGTTCTTAACTGGAGGTGATTTTGCTCCCTTGGGCACACCTGCCAAGGTCTGGAGATACTTTTGGTTGTCAGATTATAGGGGACCGCTCTACTGCTTCCTATAGGTAGAGGCCATTGACGCTACTCAGCATCCTACACACACAGGACAGCCCCCACACAGCTAAGAATCACCCGGCCACAAATGCCAATAGGGCCGAGGTTGAGAAACCACGCACTAGAATCCAGCAAGATATTTTGATACTCACCACTGTCTGCTGGGGAGGGCGCAGAACAACTCATGAAATCATAGGTTGCAGCACAGCCAGGGAAGGTCCCCAAGTGAAAGTCAGATGGTGAGAGGAGAGGATGTCTGGCGGGGAGGAGGCGTGGCCAGACCAGGCATTGTGATCTTGGGCTAGCTCTTCCCATCTGAGTTTCATTTCCTTAAATGCCAAGTGAAGAAAGCCAACCATGGTATCATGAAGACCTTTTCCAGAACTCATATTCCAAGATTCCAGCACTGACCATCTCATAACCTGGGCATGATTCAAGAAATGTGTGAGCCGGGTGCAGCGCGGTGGCTCACGCCTGTAATCCCAGCACTTTGGGAGGCCAAGGCAAGTGGATCAGTTGAGGTCAGGAGTTTGAGACCAGCCTGGCCAACATGGTGAAACCCCGTCTCTACTAAAAATATAAAAATTAGCTGGATATGGTGGAGTGTGCCTATAATCCCAAATACTTGGGAGGCTGAGTCAAGAGAGTCACTTGAACCTGGGAGTTGGAGGTTGCAGTGAGCTGAGATTGCGCCACTCCAGCCTGGGCGAGAGAGCGAGGCTGTCAAAAAAAAAAAAAAAAAAAAAGTGTGTGAAAAGAGATTCAATGTGACCTCATTTTCTCTGTCTTTCTCCTTTCTTCTTAGTTTTTACTTGCATTTTTTTTGTTCCAAAAGGTAGAAATTGCACACAGTTAAAGAAATGTTTAAATTGTCCCTTCTGATGATGATAAGCCTGAGAATGTTTCTTTTATGTCGAGGAGGAATGACTTTAATATGTATTTGAAATGTTTCTGCTCAGTGATGAAAAATCCAATGTCAGATCACTTACAGCAGACAGACTTGGGCATTTTAAGCATCTCTCCCAGGATATCATTCAGGCAGCAAGGGCTGTCCGCAGACCTGTCTGGCTCTGAGAGAAGGAGTCCTGTGGGTGCGTGAGAGAGAGCCTGTGATTCCAGCATGTCTGGGTATTCCCCAGCTGATGGTGCAGATGTGACATCATCCTGAGTCGCTATCTTAGCTCCCACCCCCTACACGCACACTCACACACTATCCTGAGAGCTCTTGATTTTCTGTATCAGTGAATGGATAATATGCACGAGGTGGCAGAAACTGTTCTTCCTTTTGGATTAGGGGAACAGTCTTTCTCCTTTTCCCAGAAATCTTCCTCATCATGATGTTACTGTGCTAGTGCAGACATAACAAAGTACCACAGACTGCTTGGCTTAATCAACAGGCATTTATCTTCTCACTGTTCTGGAAGCTGGAAGTCCAAGATCAAGGTGTCAGCAGGGTTGGTTTCTTGCAGGCCTCTCTTCTTGACTTGCAGACGGCTGCGTTCCCCCTGTGTCTTCCGCATGGTCTTCTCTGTCCATGTCTGTGTCCAAACGTCTTAGAAGGACACCAGTCATAGTGGATTAGGGGACACTCTAATGACCTCATTTTCCCAATGACTTCTTTAAGACCCTGTGTTCAAATAGAGTCACACTTGAGGTACTCCAAGCTGGGGCTTCAACATATAAATTGATTTTAACGCATGAATTATGCAGTTCATTTTGTAACACCTGCAGAGATGGGTAGAGTGCTGGTCCTCTCTGCAATAAGGCTTTAAGATGGTCATTATCTTCTGCTTCTTTCTTTTCCCTTCTTATTTTTTATTAAAAATTCAAAGGTACAGAAAAGTTGCAAGAACAGTAATAACTGTTAACATGTTGTTATATTTGCTGCTTGTTTATGTGTAGATTATATGAACCAATGAAAAGAAAGTTGTCAGCATCACGGCACTTCACCTGTAAAATTTTCAGCATGAAGCTCAGAATAAAGACATCCTTTTCTATAACCACACGCTGTTATCACACCTAAGAAAGTTTTAGATAGTTCAGTTTGGTGTCTGTTGTCTAGTCCATATTCAGATTTCTCCAGTTGTCCTCTAAGTTCTTTAAAAAAAAAAAAAAAATTTTTTTTTAAACCGGCATCTAATGAAGGTGTGGACAATGCTGCTGGCTTTTATATCTCTTTTTTAGTCTCTTTAGTCTGGAATGATCTTCCAGTTTTCCTCTCCCTCTCTGAAGACACCGATTTTTTATTTTTTTTTTTCGAGTCGGTCAAGGCCAGTCGTTTTGTGGAATGCCTACATCCTGAATTTGACTGATTATTTCTTTGTGATGTCATTCACTTTTCCTTGTGCCCCATGGAAGTCAGATCCAAATGCTTAGGTAGGGTCAAGCTTATTTAAACAGCTGCCAGGCGATGCTGGGTGCTTCTTAAACCATAATGTCCCACCAGGTTGTCCACTGTTAGTGACGCTAAGTCTGATCAGCGGCCGAGGGTGGTCATGCTGATCTCACCATTGGATGGTGTGTTTTTGACAATGAGCACATCATCTGTGGAGACATGCTTGGGCCCTATGTGCGTAACCATTGACGATTCTTGCTTGAATTATTTTACCAAAAGTTGCAAAATGGTGATTTTTCTAATTCTATCATTAGCTGATATTCCTGAAAAAGAACTATAATGTCCAATTTTAAAAAAAAAAGGGTTGGTGTAATAATTGCCTCTAGCGGTGGCAAATAAATATCTCTCTGTGACTATTACTATGTACTCATGGGTTTTTGCTTAGTCACTTGTTTTACAATCAATTATAATTATTGTTTTGATGCTCCAGTTATCCCAAATTTGGCCACTGAGGCCCTTTAAGCTGCCTCTTATGTCCTTTGAACACACTCCTTCTAGTCTGTAAGTGCTTTCTTGAACAAAAAAGTTCAGGACTCATACTTTTCACTTCCAGACATGGGATCATCCATTTCTCCAAAAAGTCTTCATTCCTTTTAGTGGAAAATAGTGTTTAAAAACTGAAA